GTCCCTTCCAACTCAAACTATTCTATGATTCTATGAATTTGGTAGTTGCGCTGGAAAAGGGATTCTCACAAGACAAAAAGTGATTACAGAGCTGGCTAATGGGGGTGAGAGATCATGCTGCAAGGACAACTGTCAGGCAAAAAGATAGTTTGTAGTGGAGGTTCTTATGGACAATACTAATTTTAATTTCTGTTAGCGCCATTTGGAAAAGACAGAAGCATGCAAGTAACATTTGCTAATTACTAAGGGATGTCATCAAAGCAAGATAGGAAGAAGGGGATGGGGTAATAGGAATTGAATAAAATGAAGTGGTACACAGTGCAGGGTCACATACTTACAAAACCTTTTACTACAGTGGGAACTTCCATTCCATTTGCCTTTACAATCAGGGAGGACAAAGAAAGAGAGGAACCCCATCTTAATAGTCAGTGATTATGAGCAACCAGTTTGATATGAACTTGATAACGTGACCCCAGGACATACCAAAAAAAATTGAGCCTTCTTTAATGACAAGAAATTTTGAGCTTGGTTTGTATGACTCCGCAAAAGAAGTGTTGAAAGGAGATGACAGTGGGCCCTATAAATATATCAGGAGTGCAAACATCGGAGAGGAAGAGTTATTTTAAGGTGAAAAATAATATGGCAGGAGAATGAGTAGGTATAGTTTGGCAGTAAGTAACTTTAGCCTATAAATTAGAAGGTCTGTAGTCTTCAGAGAGAGGCTTTGGACCAGTCTTTCAGAATAGGGAGGAAGACACTGACAGGTGTCTAAATGACTCTGATGTGGTTACCTGCAGTAGCAGAAAACTATTTCCTCTGATCAGAAAGTCCTTTCTGCTTCTGTGTTTCTGGGCTGTAGTACAGTGGGATTCCTAAATGTTAATAATGCAAGTAGCAACAGCGATTAGCTATTAATCAATAATATTAATTAGAGACTGGGTTGACTGGATGTTGCCAGTGACTGGATAAAACCAGAAGGACGGACAAATCTCTTCTTTGTAAGATAAGACACCCAAAGGAAAGAGTGCTCATCCAGGCTTGGTTTCAGAGAAGGCTGTACCCAATTCCTGTTCATTTGGGTAGCACCGATATAATTAATCCAGACTAACCTATTTTATGGAGTTCCTATGATGGTGAGACCAGAATTGAGTCCAACATCTCCAAATAGGTTCAGAGTGTGCTAATTGTCAATATTAAGATTTTAAAATTTTAAACATTTCTTGGCAAAACCGAAACATAACTTTTCTTTCCTATAAAGCTTCATGAATGTACAGTGTGATTCCTGGATAGAGATCACATCGGCTCCACAGTAATTAATTTACAGGTTTCTTACTGACCTTAGCTCAGCTCTGGGAATCATGCCAGCACAATTACAGTAACTCTGAACAGGACAGACATAAAGCTTCTATATCTACCCTGAAATTGTGCCACGTTTTTCTCTTGCTCAGTGATGGAAAGATGCATTTCTTCTTTGATTGGTTTCAAGTAGTTCAGGCAATAACAAGATTATCTCCAGCAAAGCAGGGAAAAGAAGAAAACCACCATGCAGATGTGTGCATACACGATACAGGTACTCTGTAGATAATCTTTGGGAAGTGTATCCCAAGAAGCAGTGTGTTGAGAAAGCGAGGCAAGGTGACTTGAGCTAGTTACCTAGAAAATAAATGTCATAGCTGGGAATAAAATTCAAGGGGCAGATGCGTGATTCAGTATTGTTTTCAATGAATCACACTACCTTCCTGGAGCACGTCAAGGCCCATTGCCTTCCTTCCTGTGAAGATGGGCAGCTGGATTGCAATGACACCAGGTGGAGCTGAGTGCATTCATCACCTTGGAAAATCAGGCCCCTCGTGGTTTTCTCTGATGTTAATTGACCGTCTGACCCTGCAAGAGGGGAGTCAACACATTTCCCGGCCTATGGTCTAAGTGTTTTCCAAATGCTAGAGTAAATTTAATGTTGTTGCAGAGGAAATGCCGACGCAATCCACCAGCAGCTGCTACTCTCCAACATCCTCACAAAGGTACAGTATATACCAGAGGTGTGAGGGGGTGAGTGCATGCAACTAGGGTATGCAAAACCCCAACCTCTTCTAAATGGCAGGCAGGACTCTGTGTGTTCCCTCCAGAGCTCGTACCTTCCTGCCCTCAAGAGAAACTCTGCTAAGGGCTGCTTCCTAGAAAATGCTGGGTACCATCCCGAATGTAAGCCCCTGAAAAAGCAGGCTTTTGATGTGGGACCACTGAGGGTATAATCTCATTTTCCTAGGTCCCTGATTTATGAATCCTATATCTAAATGTGGAAATGTGGATTTCTTCTAAGTGCAAGTGAGAATGGTAAGAGCAATGTTCTGAATAAATATATTGTGATGAGTCTAAAAGATCAGGTGATGCCTGTGTTCAAACAGGCAAATTTAATTTATGGACAGATGAGTCTCAATGATTAAATTAACCTGGTTTAATGAATTACTGCCTCTCAGTGGAGCTGTGAAAACTGACTGCATTGTGCTTTAGTCCCTTGCTTTTTAAAATAAATTATATTAAGGGAAAGCAAATATGTTTGTTTTAGAGTGGAAAGGCTATTAACGTGGTCAGTTCAGATGGCTCTGCATGTGCATGGTAACTCATTAAACCACAGGAAGGTAATCTGAATTTCTGATGTCCCAGAAAATTTCCCCCAGAAATTAGTAAGTACTTTTTTCAAAGCCAGATTGGATGGGGCATTGAGCAACTTGGTCTAGAAGGAGGTGTCCCTCCCCATGGCAAGAGTGTTGGAACTAGATGATTTTTAAGGTTTCTTCCAACCCAGACCATTCTATGATTCAATTCATGTTGGGGTTGAATAGTGAAAAAGGAATATGATGATGCTGTGGCAATCTCCAACCAGGAGATGGTGAAGGGTGAAAGAATAGCACATTGCTGCTCACGGAGCTGCGCTGGGGTTGCACTCCTCCACTGACAGAGATGTTTGATCATGTCACCAATAAAAGTTGAACCACGTCCCATTGGATCCAGATTATGATAAACTTAATTCTTAAGTGTCTAATCTGGTGTCAACTCTGGTCTGGAAATGTAATCTTTTAATCTGTTTGTTTCTTAGGGTTTTTTTTTAAATGCAAAATAATTTGGTGAAACCAGCCTTGTTACACACCACAAGCTGTATTTTTCGGTCCTCAACACACTGCAGGCATGTGGAATCACATTTGTGCATAGTGGTGTCATTAGTTATTCATCGGACAGCAAAGGTTTCGGATGTTGTTGGGAACAGAGATGTCCCCAACCCCTCCTACCGTCACACTGACTCCTGCAGCCGTGTGATCACCTGCCACCCAAATCCCACACATTTCCCGTCCTGTGAAAATGGGATGCCGTGCCCAGCCCTTCTCTGCCCACTTTGCTCCCGCTGTTTGCATGTCCACTCTTCCCCCTGCAAGCACCCTGCTCTGCTAGTCCCAGCCGGGAAGCGTTCGTGCCTCGGAAGGATGCCTTTGCTCCATTCCGGCTCCTCTCCCGGGAGCGGGCGGGGCCGGCGGCGATGGGGAGGATGGATGGGCGGAGCCGGGGCCCGGTCCAAGTGCCGGGGCCGCGGGCGTTGCCGGGCGACGGGCGGGCGCTCCCGTTGTCTCCCTCCTGCCCTCTCCCGTTCTCCCCGCGGCCCAGCCGACAGGTAGGAGCCGGCCCGGCCCCGCCACCAGGAGGCAGGCCCGTGTGGAGGGGTCGTGCTTCTAGCCCGTGGGACGGAGGGAGCAGTGGGAGCCCGGAGGTGTCTGGGGTCGTGTGGTGGGCGTGGGGACTGGAGTAACGTGGAGTCCGGCTTACCCTCCTTACCCAGGGCTTGTGCAGCTGGGTTTTAGGGACGTTAACAAAGGCCGTTGTGATCACTGCGGGACATACTGGCTAGTGTGCGACGAGCTGGCTGGAGCAGGACACGCTGGCTGGTGTGGGACACCTCCAGTGCATCCCAGGGCTTGAAGACCCCACCAAAGCATGTGCATCACTGTAGTAATCCAGCCTATGCACGGGTGGAAAGCATCTGAGGGCTGAGACCAAAAGTCTCTGTTTATGTCAGTGTTGGCAATAAATCTGGTTTAACAGCATGTTTAAATTTTATGTTTTGGTGGAGCTCTGAGGAGAAAAAAGTTGATGAATAAATAGTCCTCGGCAGCAGGTGCAAGTTTTAGAGGGTATCCCTAGGTATTTTGTGCTGAGAGAATGTGGCTCCTTCGTGTTGCCTCCTCAGCTTCTCTTGAAGGGCTGAAGAGACTTTACAGTGCCGAGCTTACAGGCTTTAAGTTTTGTTTAACTTCTTGCAGAAAGGGCTAGGTGTGGTCCTTGACCAGCCCTCTGTGGTATCGAGGATGTTTTGGGGATGTACCTGCTGTCAGCAAGACTCATATTGCCTACTCATAGTTTTTAGCAGATAGTAATTAGTTAATTGGATATCTTCAGCTCTCCCTGTGGCCTGTATGTGAGGCCCGTGCTACCCTTGCTCTGCACCTGTCTTCTGTAGTTGTTGATTCCTGATAATGATTTTCATGCTTGCCTACTATTTTCCTTTCGGACTGCTTTTACAAGGCAATGTTTTCTGACAGTGAAATATATTAAATATATTAAATGTTGACTTTAACCTTTTATCCCATGCTACCCCAATAGCAATGTTTTCTGTAACACACATTCAACTTACTTCTACCACCTAGGAAATGACTGTTCTTTTTGTTCAGTAAATAACTTTTTTTTTCTTCAAATATGTAGATTCTGCCATATCAAATCCCTCACCTTTTCGTGATCTGCTTGGGAACTGTATTCAGTTATACTTTCATTAAGCTCTTCTAGGCTCTACTACTTCATGTCCTGTTATACTTTTAAGCCCTTTTGAGTGTGGACTTCTGCTGCTACAGTGGACAAAATACTTTTTGTTATTAATTGTGAAATGCTCAGAATCTCTTGGGTTTGTTTTAGTTTTATTCTCTTGAAGATTGTATTCTTAACTGTTGTTTTAGCAGGACATGGAGCAGTTAAATAACAAATTGCACTATGAGCACCTGTAATTCAAGATAAATGGAGATGAACGGCTGGGACAACTAAATTAAGATGTCTGTAGAAGGGGGATGGGAAATGATGCAGAACACCAGTGGCACTAGAAGAAAAGGTAAAATAATTTCAAATGTGCAAATTACTGAAAATGTTTCAGAACTTTTTTTTAAATTACTCTCCCATTTAATTTTGTTACTTTTCATCATGTTATTTTGTCTGGTTTTTGAGTTTGCCTGAAGGAACTTGGATTAAAAATGCAGCATTCAGGCATGTCAGATCTCAGAGTTGCTGTCATTAACAGGTTTTGTTTTGGGGATGGCACTGAGTTTTTTTCTGATCTTTGTGTTCTTTCTCTTGACCTTAACACTGAGAATTACAAGGCTTCTCTGGGTCTGACCTCTCAAGGCACTGATATATGGATGCATCCGCCTATGGGCAGCTCAATTTGTTGCTACTGTCAGTAAAAGAGAGAACAGGCTCTGCCCATGGCCTGGCCTGCCATCAGCCTGTTCTTACACAGTTCAAGGGACCTGATCCTATATAAAAGCAGGATTCAGATTATATGTGAGACCAGATGCAAGTTTAACAGTGGACTGGAGTGATATTACTATGTATGATTATGATGATGCATGTGCTTTTCAAACTGAAGTTCCTCGGGGGAAACAGTTAAAGAAATCACATTTATTCCCAAAGTTTGAAGTAGTATAAAAGTTAGTGCTGCAAAATAGTAACATTATGTGATATGCCATAAATTTGGGATTGCTACATTTGTCGCTAATGGGAATGGCTTAATATTTATTTATGAGGAATTATGAAGAGGTTATTTTTTAAATCAGAAAATTCATGAGCTTTTCACAGAAATTAATTATTTAGGTACATCTGCATAATTTTAATTTGCTGGTAAAATGGTTAGTGTTTTTATACCTTCTTCAGATTCACATGTGGGCTTGAAAAAGGATTGGAACCAAACTTATATTAGTAAGGCCACAAGTACTTGCTATAATACAAATCAAAAGACCAGATTTGCCATGGCAGACATAATAAATACTAATGTATCTGTATTAAAAGGAAAAGATTGTGGACCCTGGCTGGTTCAAAGAAGCATTATCTGATATTTAAAAAAAAAAATTCAGAAAGCATGCATTCCTTTGACTGTAGCTTCTAAAATCAGGAAGCAGTATTTGAAGTATAAAAAAACCCTGGCTGTTTATTTTACATTTTTTGCATCTTAAGTTTTAATTTTTAGAATGGAGTTCTAAAACTACTTTGGTTTTCATTTTTTTAATGTTACTAGCATATGTAGTGGTTGGGTGTCGTTTTGCTTTATTTTAATAGAATATCCACCCAAGTTCAAAGTGATGAACGTGAAGAAAAGAAACATATATAGAATGAAGGGCTTTAAGTAAATTATTGTTACTTCAGAAAGAGCATTTAGCTGTTGTGATTGTTCTCTGAAAATATCATCTTGCAGCTGGTCAAATAGACAGTGTTAAAACTTCTGAGTAAAGGAATTGAAAACAGTGGAAAATCAGGTACTGTCTCTGTGGCCACATCTTTCAACTTACATCCAGTACTGATCATCTTGGAGGGTAAATGGCAGAACTGAAATAGATTCCATGAAATACTTCAGATAGAACAGGAGATGAAAAATGAGATGGAAAAAAAGCTATAATTTAATGAATGGCATGGACAGTGGGATGTATCCTCCATAATTCTAACTGCTTTTGACCTAATTTCTAATTTTAGCCTCCACAACAACCTATGCCGGTGTCTTCCACAATTCAAATAAATACAGTGCAAAAATGCACTTTCTCCTTTTTAAAAACTGCTTCCTGATAAAATTTCTGTGTTGTCTTTAGTCATTGGATGACTATTTGTCATGTCTCAACACATGATAAATAATTGCCTCCCTGTATACCTCCCCAGCTGTTGAACACACCACCTTTGGAATTGCGAAGATACTGAGCAGTTGATTGCCAGAAATTACAGCCATATGCCGGGGGAAAGACCACTTTGGACTACCCCTACTTCTGATATTGTTTTTAAAGGATCTATTTCTGACTACAGTAGTTAGTTGGAGATCCGTCTTGACCCAGCAGGACAGTTATAATGCATCTTCTTCAGTAACCTAAATTGATTATGCAAGGTCCTTTTCACAGTGAGTTTTCTGCTCTTGCTAAAATTTTGGGAATATCTGTTACTAAATAAGCTCCTGCAGCATCTTCCACTGTTTAGTATTTTTCTACAAGTTCAGCTAAAATCTGTCTCTTTTTATACAATCTGTCCCATGTGAGCAACACATTGGAAATCAGAAACATTGCAGCTGCTCTTCAAATGGCTTTGCAGGGCTTGTAATCTCTTGCTTCAATTAGCTTAATTACCAAACAAAATGGACTGAAAATTGTTTGAGGACAACCAGAGCACGTCGAAACTCAGAAATGCCATATATGATGCATTTTATCCTGCACAGAAGTTTGTATTTCAAAAGGCTCATAAATGCAATACAACAGTACCTGGAAAAAAAAGTCCATTTTTACTGTCCTTTTCTTAGCTGGAATCTGGAAATGCTTCTAAATAGTGGATACTTCAAAATCACCACTGGACCAAGAGGCGTGTGTAAGGGACGTGATGAGCGTGTGAGGAACAGGTTGGATGCGCAGACTGTGAGGGTACAAAATGCCAGGGATTCCTTTGTTGAGGGTCCTTCCCTGGAGGCACCAGCTGGAGCTGGTTTTGCATTGAGTAATTAAATTACTCAAAGTAACCAGACATCTGAGATTCTGCAGTGGGAAACCCAGGGTCGAGGTGGTAAGGAAAACTTGTCTAACTGTGAGTGTGGGGTGTGCAGGGAGTCAAGTGTGGCACCCATCGGGTCACTGGATCCACCGCTGTGAAGGAGCTTTGGTCCCAGCAGTGAAAGTCTGGGGTGGTGGGAGTGTGACTGACAGAGTGGCTCCTGGATGATCAGACAGGAAGGTTTCCTTAACAATTTGACAAGCTAGCTCCAGAATGATTTGATATAGAGGCATTTCCAGCACATATGATAAAACATTTCTCATTACTCTACAACCTTCTCAGCAGGATCTGGCAAAGTATTATACATGCAGTTGTAATTATGCAATTTAATACATGCAGTTTGTAGATATATAAAGAAGAAACAGGTGACATTGAAGTGCATTGCCTTTTTATTTATTACTGCAATGTTTTTAAAGAATATTAGGCATCTTTTATCTCAGCAGGGTTGGCTCAAACCTAGTCTGGGTTTGTAGCACGCATTTTTTCTCTGGGATCACTGCTGCTTTGGGTCACAGCACGGTTTGAACTCAACTCTGTGCATGGGGGTAATACAAAGTCCACGAAGCTCCCAGGAACTTACCCTGAAGACTCTGTGCAACATAAGTCCTGAAAATTACCTACCATGGTCATGGTAATTGTAGAACAGGATTTACATGCAGTAGCAGAGGACTGTCATGGGCTCTTACAGCTTGTAAAACCACAAATAAGGAAGGTAAACAAATGAGACAAATCAATGCACTTGCTTTATCTGTAAATTTGGGTGCTCGACCCAAGGCTTTAAATTGACTGAACACTTACACAAAACTATCCTTGTGAGCATTCAAGTCATTCAGTGTCTTTAATGTCAGTGAATTTTTATTTATATTAAATTGGATATTGATATCTTGATATTTCAGCATTCTCTTAAAAGCTTTTTTTCTTAGTGGGGCACACAACTGGAATATTTATGAATGTTCTTTATGGTGTTTACATGATCCCATGATATTAAAGTAGTATAACTGAAGTAGTTGTTACCTCCTTCTGCTTAACAAAAACAGAAGATTAGAATCATACTGTCCAGTCATACACTGAAAAGAATTCATGTTAATAACAGGTCAGATGTTTTATTTTTCAGCTTTTTGGAAGTTGCACCTGTTAAAATAGACTGATGTGTTGCGAGATGCTTTATATTACATAAATGTTGCAGGAACTGTTTTTGCCATTATGGGTGGATTATTGTAACAGTAGTTTCCTGATGACATCATAGTAAATTCCAGCTGCCCAAACAGTTATTTTCCAGAAGAGGTTATCTGCAGTGCACTTGCGCAAAATTACACTTAAAAGGGCCCTCATAGTTCCCTCAGGACTTATAAACCAAACCTTTTGTCAAATCCTCAGTAAACAGAGAATTCTTTGTTTTCATTCTGTGTCTGTGGTAACAGTATGGGCACTACTGTAATTTGTGGTTCTGAATTAAACAAATAAAAACTATATTGTGCAAGACAAGAGAAATGGAAGTCTGCAGTGCAAGCTTCCTGTCATGAAGGGATACATAGTACAGTGGTTCTCAAATGTTTTTTCCTAGAGAACTTTTAGGCTGGTGACATACAGATAAGGGTCCAAAGATTGTGGAACCCCCACTGAAATGGTACCCTCCCTGTCCAGTGAAGGCATGAGTAGCCACAGAGCAGGAGAGGATGCTGGCTGAGAAGCTGGCCTGAGGGAGCAGAGATTCCTTTTTGTATGGGATGTTAATATATAGAGGTATATGCCTTTCCTAGACTAAATCTGGAATGATTACTATTGTTTGATATTTTGTTTGTTTGTTTTTAAACATGCCTTGTCTCACAATTCAGAGGATCTTACCCACTCTTAAGAGGCCATAATTAATGTTGAGTCAGACATTCATGGCGATTGCTGAATTTGAAATGTGTATTAATATATATTTAATGAAGAGTACACAGTCCTACCATTGACTCTTCAATAAATCTTGTAGCAGGAAAGTAAAATCTTGGAGTTTTACCAGTGTCAGACCCTAAGAACATCGAGTAACTCTTCTCTGCCAATTTCTTTCTGGCAAATTACAGTATTCTGCAGGGATTTCAGATAACATGTGGTTGCAAGGATCATTAAATTTTAATAATGATCTTTATTAGTGGTATTTATATATGTTTAAAATGTCCTGCAGTTTTTAATGGACTTTCACAACATGCCTGAGATTTGAATAGCTTGCCATGATCAAGCACACTCACTTTGGTAAGGAGAGTGGCAGCAGTGGAGAAAGTTGTCGGCTTAACAGTTCATGGAATTCAAGATCTTCCATGTTACTGCTCTGGTCATTAATTTCTCCTGCATTCAGTTATTGTCTGTTTCTAGTTATCCAGATATGTAAGAGCCTGTTAAGTTAATGCCTTTGATGCAAATCCTGCAAAAACAAATTCTTTTATTTCTTTCATGATTTTACTCTTCTCAGTGTTCACATGCAGGACAAAACTCCATTATTTTTTGTCCATTTTCTCTTTCCCTGAAGCTCATCTACTTACTGGTATTGCTTTGCTGTCCCACTGAATTTGTTGAAGGTTTGTACTAGGTGCAGTTAGCTTCCATCCTTGTTGGTCTCACAAAGAGGAATGGTCAGGAATGGTCATTCCATTCAGCTCATACATCCAATACATATCCAATGCAGCCATCTTCCCCATGGAGGAAATCTTCAGGTTTGTGACTTCTCAGACCTCTTTAATGACAAAAAGATCTTTCCAGTCCCCGTAAATTGTCCCACTGAGGCTAACACTAGTTAGAGTCAATGGTTGCTTCTCCCGTGCATTTGACAGAGTCACAGGTCTCTCATTTGGTTTTTAGCATTAGAAATGAGTGGATGAGGTGGCTTTACTGGAATGGTTTTACCTGTCTCAGAAAGTCAGGTGGACCTGATGAAAATGAGCAGTATATCCTCTGTATCTGTAGGAAGACAAGTGTTGTGCCAGGCCCGCTTCTCGCTTCTGCACAGTGCTGGAGATTTCAGAGGCTTTTGGATTTTTTGTAAGATTGGCACCTCACCGCTACGATTCCTGCACTCTTTACTTTTCTGTATTCCTCATTTTGAGGATGATATTTTATTCCATGTTCAGGAGAAGATTATTTCTTCTCTGGAGAAAGTTTTGAAGTGATGGAAGCATTTAAAAAATGGCTGACAATAATTCAACTTGATTCCTGGCAATTTGTAATGAAAATACTTTTCTCCTCACTAATCTACTGTTACAATAATTACAAGAACAGATCAATAGCAGGAAGTATAAAACAAAGTGTTACTTTGGATATTAAGCCATAAATTGATCTCCCTGTCAACCTAAAGTAAATGCTGTATCAACACGTTTCAAAGATTTGAGGACATTCTGAAACATAATAGCGAGGGACCAATAGAGGGAGAACAATAATTTGTTTTATGCAAGTGTGTTAACTCTTTGTGGCCCAAATCTGCCTAATCCTGCGATTATCTCATTATGTTTTACACTCACATGTTACATCAGTGTTCTCTAACTATTGCTCCACTTGGCTCTGGTAACATACAGGATTATCTCTGGATAATAACAATCCTCACTTGAATTAGGAAGAACCACCAGTACTTGCACATGATCCAACACAAATCTTGTGCAATTGGCAAAGTATTCCAGAATTTATATGACAGATATTCTACTCCAAGTCAGTTATTGACCAAAATAATTCCTTCTTAGGAAAATAAGGACAACACCAGAAGATCTTGCTGTCACAGAAGATTCTTTAGTTTCCTTGGACGACTGAAGACTATTGCAACTCTTACTGACTAAATCATACTGACGTGCTCTAAAGAAAGCAGAGGAGAAAAATCTGAGAAATTTTAGAATTCTTTGGAAAAAGAAACAGGTAATAGAAATTAATGGGTTGTAACTTTTCTTTCAAAATATAAGACACATAGTGTTTTTGAGGTCCCTCCTAATGGGCAGAAGTATGAAAATATGGAAGTTGTCCTTATATAGGTATGCTGAGGTTCTAGAAGCTGCAAATATCACTGCTCAATTCACTTATGGTGGTTGTTTTATAATCCAGTAAGAAAGATTGAAAGGAGGTATGTGTCTCTGAAGAATTTGTTCTTGAATATGATTTTTAAGCATTGAATATTGCTGTGGCTATCTAAGCCACACATTTGAGAAGTCAGCTTCTGTAGGAGTGCTTGCCAGGTACGTGCAGTGATCTGAAAATATAATTTTTGCTTTCTGTGGGCTTCCTCTCCCCTGATGAATGTATGAAAGGAGCACTTAGGAGTCCGAGGGTTTGGTTCCTCCCTTTCTAATGCTAGGAGATTCTGCAGAGAGATTTGGTGGATCGTTAATTTTTCGTTGCTGTTTTTCTTTTAATAAGGGCTGCTGTTTTTGCTGACAGTACTGAGTCCTTTGAATTTCTTTTTCTTGTGCAAGTGAAGAATTTTGACTGGACAGGAGTAGTCAGAGCAAGAAGTCTCTTCGATCTAAACCTCTCTCACCTACTAACAAGACAGTCCTCTCAAGCAGAGGCGACTAGCTGAGCAGTGAGAACTTCTATTCCTCCTAACAGAAATTACTCCTGTGTTTAACTGTTTATTAGTATGAGGGGGAAGGAAGGTGGTAATTCTCAGGTCTTGGCCACCACTGAAGCTTTGTCAGCCAGTTATGATTAGCTTGATCATTTAATTACTTTTCCAGCGCTAAGGCTAAGTATTGCTTCACAGTGGAGAACAGAACAAAACTGCAGGTGTCCCTTTAGCAGAGCAAGACGGCTTTTCTCTAGTCTAGCCTTTTGTTGTTACAGCAGTGTTTCCAGCTGTGATACTTCCTTGCTGCCAAGTAATAGTAAATAGCTTTATAAATCATAGTAGTGCTTGTACCATTCGGGAACAGCCAATTGCTTTTTGCCTCTAACAAGTGTACATATGCTTACTCTCATATTTCAAAGTTAATTGCTAATATTTCTGTGAAAGTAATAGCTTTGGGAATTGAAGAATGAACACATTTGAAGTGCTTCTTCTTCCAACTTTGGATTTCACTCCTCACTTGAAGCATACACAGTTTTGTTTAAATTGTATTTTACATTGATTTTCTCCAAGACTGTCTTAAAAATGAGAAGTCAGCAGCCATAGCCTGCCTGACCTAGAGCCAGTGACAGTGCAGGTATATTTAATTTAGGACAGCAATACAGACAGCTTCTGTCCATGCTGCCTGCAGGCAGAGATCAAAATGCTGGAGAGAAGTGGTGGCGTGTCTTGGTACTGGCACTTGCTGAAGTCCAGCGGAGTTTCGCTGAGTGCTGTTCATGTTTCTCAGGAGTGAATGGGTAGGTAGGAGGCCCATGTGGATGGGAAGTTCATTGCCACTGGAGAAGGGTGAGTGGAATAGTGAGAAGACTGAAAAGGGCTAGTGTCCTGAGTTGTTTGTTCTCATCTAACATCCTTTTACAGAGCTATGGGTGTGCCTAGCTTTTTGTATAACTGCAAACAATAGTTTGCTGTAAAAGCCTACACTTAAAGCTGAGTGAGGTGTGGGACTCTGACAGCTCTTGAGGGTCAAGAAAAGGAAGAATATATGTTACATGACACATTGCTTTGGGTTCTGATTAAAGAAACCTGGATCTCCATAGGCATTTGCTGTCTTGTAATGGGAGTCAAAATAGATTTTACTAAAGGGAAAATAACAAATATGGGTAAAAAAATCAGACTGCTTGTTATCCTTTTGTTCAAAGCGTGTTGAGATGGACCTGAAGTGGAATCCTGACAGAGTTTCTCATCCGGGCTCATCTGGAGTCCAGATGACTGATTTGAATTGGCGAGGCAACCAAAATCCCAGTCCGCTGATTAAAGATGATGGAGAGCTGCTTATGGAGGAACATCTTTCCCCCAGGAAACTGGTGAGTAGGCATCCAACTTTTTAATGAAGTGGAAGAGGCAAACTGGCATATACAGAGCTGCATTAACCTTCCAACTGCTATTGTGCTGATTATGGATTGTTTGTCTGACATTTAGACTCCTGCATGAAGTAGATTCTATCTTATGAAAGTGTATCAAGTGCTTGTCCTCCTTTCACCTTGTTTCATATCAAAAATACTCCCAGCATGAATGTGGCTGTTTCTATTGCTAGGTTTCTTGAAGCAGCGTGAAGAAAAGTACAGGTAGCATAATTATAATATACACAGATCTTATTAATGCCATCCAGAGTACCTTGAATCTTAGCATTAGGGAAAAAAAAATTGCATTAACCTTGTTCTAGAGATTGGAAGTGTAACTTTAAAAGCACAACTTTTTTTTCTGAATTAGTGAAATCATCTGTTGTGCTACGAAGCCAATTAAAATATTCTGCAAATGCTAAAAGTACTTTGTATGTATATCAAAGTGTGTGGAATTTCAAAGCATATTTGAAAGCCACGTTCCTTTTTGACTGGGGGAAATTATTTTAGTGTGCAGCCTGTTGAAAGAAAGTAACATGCTGAAATCTTCATGAAGGAATTCGCTTTGTGAAATAGACATGAAAGAATACTCGGTTGCATATTGTGTTTTATTTGCTCAGGACTAATTTAAGGTGAAATCCTGTGGGAGGTGCAGGAGCTGAGAAAATAACCTCATTTTTCCCTGCTAAAGGAAGGGAGAGCTGAGAGCAGAAATTAAGGGGAGAAGCTTTCTGTGTTGCAGAGCTACAGAAGAGTAGCTCTTCTGCTGGGTAGAATTTATGAAAGACAGGTGGGGCTGCCAAGACTGTGGTTCAGATGCTGGCAGGCATTCATATGCCAGGCTGGGTGGCGATCGCAGTATCCATAATCCTCTGTGTATCCACTGCACCAGTGGAGAGACATGAGCTTCCGCAGGCAGCATATTCCAGCTGCAGGTTTACACCACTCCCTAACCACATACCAGTCACCATTTTGACCATGTGCTGTAGATTAAACAGCAAATTGTTCTCGGAACTGTTGTTCCCTTAGTAGCTAAGTCTTTTAGTGTTTGTAAAATGGTTGAAGATGCAAAAATAATTTTCTGCAGAGTGTATACTTTAAGCACTCTGGAGGAAAATTGCTACATGATTATATGATTTATGCCATTCCCTTTCCTCAGGCTCATGAGAACCTCTGACAACTTTTTTTTTTTTTTTTTAAAACCTGGCATAGAGTTTGACCAGTCTAACGTGTTTATGGCCTTCAACACTCTGTATAAATCCAATGGGAATCTCTCAGATTAGTCTGTATTGTTAGGGTGTGAACCAAAGCCCATTAAAGTAACCAAAACAGCTGCCCTCTGATTCAATAAACTTTGAATTAAACCCTTAGAAAGTTCTTTCATTGGCATGAACTTCTCTTTCTGAAGCTCTGCTACTTTAGTTCACAGTAAATTGTAAGCAGAAAAGTGTATGTAAGGCAATGTTACCCACATCCCATGACCTTACTGTTCATTACTTTGTATTTTTTTTAAAAGCAGATAAGTTAAATAATTGAGGCTTTCCTCTTCAAGATTGTGTGTTTTAACATTTGTAAGGAATCCTATTTCAAAAATTCTTTTAAATGGATGCATACTCTCCTGCTAATTTTTCTGGATAGTTATTTCCTGCCCTGGAACCTCACATTTGTGTTGGCATAGCTGGGATACTTCCTGCTCAGAGGAAAAATTACATGACATTGTCAAGGAAACATTTATAGTGTTTATAGCTTGTTTTAATAACATATCCAGTCTATCTATTCTTTGACCTTTATGTTGATCAAATGGAAACCACTGCTTCCATAAATTTACTTCCTCAGGATTTGCAAACATTCAGAATGTTCAAACATTTAATGAAACAAGTTTTCACATGCATATTTCTTTAAGAAACCACATGCCATTGACAATGAAATGGTTTGAAAGGTTGTTTTGCTGAAATCAATACAATTGCAATATCTTCTTGATTGTCTCATTGTTGTGAATATTTTAGGAGTTATTGATTGTACTCGCTGAAGTGCTCTGAGAAGGAAACTAAGACACTTCTAAAATACATGCTCATTAAAGTAAAATTATTTTACATTCAAATAAGGACATGGGCCCCAGTTCTGCAGTGTTGTGTAGGCAGATATTTGGACACTTGATGGAAGTTCCTGAGGAAGGTTTTTGTACTGAGATACATACTCAGCTTTACTCCTTGCCCTTGCAGTGTTCTCTCTTGCACCAGCTCAGTTGGAGTTTGGGGAGGCTGGAAGGTCTAGCTGTGCAGAATTGTGAAGATTGGGCACCTTGAATTGCAGCCTGCAGCCTTGTTTCCACCTGCACATTTGAGTCATTTTGTCCTTTTTTCCAGGGGATTGGCCATCTATTTTGTAGTGAAAACATTATCAGTCTCCATTAGCAGTCATCCTTAAGAACTCTTTGTAAAAGCTGTGATACTTGTATCCCTTCACTTTTTTTATCCAGTTGCTGGATTGTTTTCCTCCAAAGAAAGTAAAGTTTGGCTTGGACCATTTTTTTTTTCCTTTCCTTGTCTTCTTGGACCCTGTAGAACTTCTACAGAACCACTGGACCTTTGCCCATTCTCCTCTACTCCATAGCAGACCCCTTCACTTAGACCTTATGCTCATTCACTGCAGAGTTTGGTCTTCTGTGGCCTTGTTTCAGCATAATGTTCACTTCAAATCCTGTATGATTCCATATCCCTGTTATGTTAATCACATCATCTAGTTTCTGCTTGCTGCCAGCTCTCTTGCTGCGCTATCAGGTAACATCCTTTTATATTTGAATGTTCTTCATCCAAGCTACAGGTCAAAAGCTTTTGATGCAAGAGTTGGTATCATTAGATGTCCTTTTTATTCTTTCTGCTAGTGTCAGTGTTAATTTTCTCTTGTACTTTTTAATCTTCCTCTATATGAATAGGCATTCTTGCTTTTTCATTTGTACCTGTCTTAATAATACTTCCAGCTCCCTGCTCTGCTTGTCCTTGTGCTTATGTGTTGTTGTCAGATATTGTAGAATATCAGAGTGAGCAAATTCTCACTTTGTTCTGCAAATTGACTATTAATAGGCAATCAGTTTTTAACTCTCTTAGGGCTGTGGCACAGATTTTTCATTAAATGTGGAAAAACTGAAATTAAGGGTGCCACCTGTCTTGAATCACATTTTTGTTTTGCTTTATTAACCCCCATCCTCTCCCCACTGTTTGCAAAGGATCTTTTCCTGAATTCCACAAAATGCATTCCACTTCTCACAAGAAACTCATTTTACAAGGTCAAATGATCTTCCAGATATTGTCGCATTATAAAAAACAATCACGTTTGTGTGTGATTTTTAGAGAAGAAAGGAAGTGTTCTCTAATTTCGCTATTTATTGATCCTGCTCCAACTAATCATGTTTTCTAAACTTAGGAACACATGTTCGGAAGTGGTGTTTAGTTTTGTTGCTCAGGAGGTTAGGGTGTATTTCACATGGTATGCAGTCATCCTCGTGAGGGAAAAAAAATGCTGGAGGGTCGTGGAATAACAGATTGGATTCTTGCTGAAATGACTCGATCATTTCTTTTTTCCTTTTGCAGAAATTTTTTTTGCAGAGAGATTATACTTGAGTTGAGAATTTGAAAAAAAAAAAAAAGAAGCAATGAACACATGAATGGACATATTTGCATACAGGTGTAATATTAAAAGAAAACAAACTCACCACTCAGGAATTCCTGTCTTAGCCAAATTAACCAGGATCAGCAAAATAAATGCACAGCTGGAAATATTTCTCTGACAGCTGCATGCAACATACTCCTCAGAAACATACCTACTTTTCTTGGAGTGTGTGAAAAATCTGGGGAAGAGAGAAGACATCAATTGTATATGGCAATTTTAATTGAACAAGTATTATTTGCCAATTAAGGAAGTTACAGAGAGTTGCAAGTGGGACTTCCCAGCATGCTGGGGTGACTGTTCTGCCGCTGGGGAAGCTCTGCAAGCGCAGAAGTGTTTCTCATTTGAAATTTTTACAGAATACTTACTGGCTTGACTCGTCAGTCAGAGGAAAAGCTTTCCAAACGAGCGCATGCTCTCCAGTTAGATATTGGCCAGACATTTTGCATGGTGGGAATGGTTTGTGAGCCATCATGCAGTTGCTTCTTAAAATACTGGCTAAATCATTAACCAATAACTTCTGCATAATATCATGAAAAATAGTTTTACTCCTATTTTGAAGAAGGTGAAAAAATGTAAAGTGAACTTTATTCATCTTTGTTTTACTTACTGTGTATTCATCTTCAAAGAATTGTGCAGTGCTTTACCGTGGAAATGTATCCTTTCAAATAAATGAATTTACAGTGGAGTGTAATGCTGCTCAGAATCAAGCTGTCAGGTCACATTCTTGAACATCATGTTCCAGAAGATTTTAATATTTGATTCTTCAGAAAACATCCTCCTTCTCTGTATAACTGGTACCTCTATTGCTGGGTTGCAGGTGGGTGTCAAGCAGAATCCTCTCTGAACACCAACAATCAGCCCTAGACCTAGGATGGCCCTAGAAATGAAGAGACCCAGAGCACCATAGCATCACTTCTGTCCATGTGGTGCCAGACATTTATCTGTCCAAGCTGATGACCCTTCGGTGTGTTTGGTCATGATTTTTTTGTTTTGCTATTCAATAACATCAAAATTCTTCCTATACATGCATCCTTTCGAATTTTGGTGAAGGTTCCTGTGCTTGGACATTAAACAAGAGCATAAAAAGATCTTGCTAAATATGTATCGTCTTTCTTTAAATGTTTCTGCATCCTTCCTTCCATCTCCCCCATTCCTGATGTCAGAATTTTAGCTGTCAGAATTTACACGAGATGTATCACACTTGCAGCTGCATTAGTATGCCAAGAATGGTGTCTGGGGAGTAGTAATATCCTAACTATCTTCCACAGGAACCATTCACCACATAACCTTCTCTTGAACTGCTGCCCTGGCCTTTTGCTTGCTGACTAGCTTGCAGTCAACACCTGGGATCTCTGCGCTTCTAGTGCCTTTAAATGAGCTCATATCCTCCACCCAGAAGCATTTCTCGTTTCCTTTATGTACTGCACTAACTTTTGCATCCCACAGCAAGTTGGTTTCAAGCTCTCCAAGCATGTCCTTGGCATCAGCAGATGGAAGGACAGTGATTTTCACAGGAACTCTTGGAAATGCAGAACATGGAGGTGGGCACCAGGAATACATGGAGTTTGTTGCATCTGGTTAGCACATGCTTCAAGACAGCTATCTGTAGTTCAAAGAGCTGGTGATGATGGCCAATAACCCTTTCCAGCACTGGAGCCACAGTGCCTGCTGTTGTACTGCCTGCTGCAGTACAAAAATATGGATGCATTAAGCAGCTCAACTCTCAGACAGTGAAAAAAGTACAAATGGTGGATCTGGAATAGGAAAAGAAGGGTAAAGAATCACACTGGTAATCCCTGGTATTAGAAAAAGGAATAGGGAACCCTAAAAAATGAGAGAATATAACTTTAGGCAGCTTTTATGCTTGGATTTTTAAAGAGAAGAACAGGGAGCAGAACTGTGAGGGGAAGCTGTCTGGAATACAACAGAGGAAGGACAGCATGCAGGGAAGTTGCTGACAGCAAGGAGAAAAGGACAAAAAAGGAGCAAAAGCTCCTTGTGGTGTCAGGACCTTTTCCTACTCTACTGACAAAGTGTATGACCCTAAGCTTATTACTTGTTCTGAGACTTCCTCTTGTTCTGATGTAGGCTCTTAAGACTGTTTTGATGGGGAGCAGGGAGGTATTTTTCAAAGGCGGTTTCCTTTAATGACAATAAGCTTGCATCCAAATCCAGTGATCCAAGTGCATGGTTGCATGCCAGGACATCAGCCAGCTCTTGTTTCACACATAATCTCGTGACAGACAGTGTCATCTGCTGAAAAGGGTTACTGCAAGATGTGTCTTGCAGTGAGAGATCTTGTGTTTACTTGGAGAGAGAAAGCAGTCTGTAGTTGGTAACCTTGCTACCTTTACAGGAACAAAACACATTTTGTGGTGGCTGCATCTGGGAATAGGAAGAAAATTTCTGGGTGCCATGGGGAACTCCCACATTTTCACCTTAGACCATTGTTTCTCATACTCTAGTGGGGAGGCAAGACAGTCTGGAAGCTTATATTTTTTCAGCCTGCCTAAAATCACAGTTTAAAAAATAAGATTAAAAGTAATTTTAAACATAATGTTTTAAAGGTAGGTCAAAAGCAGTTGAAGATATTGGATAATTCTGTTTCTTAGGAGTACAAGTCAACACCTTATAAAGGGAGACAGTTTTTCAAGGAGGTATGCTCAGCATTTTCTGGAAACTGTGTTCTTTTAAACTCAGTTACAGACAGACTGTATTTGGTCCTTTGTAAGAGGATGTGGAACCATCAGAGTGAATGAAGTTGCAGCCACTTCGCTGCACAATAAAAATGTTACTTAATGAGCAGGAAGACTGCAACTATCATATTTTCCCCTGCAAAATGAATTGGATGTTCTTGTGGTTATTTTTTCTTCCCAAAATTCATAAGCCTAAGGTGGTCCTACACATTCCCTTCTAATGAATCATTTCTCCCTTATTAAAAAAACTAAATAATGTTGTAACTTTTTATATTAAGAAAACTTGTCTCTTGTATGTGGAGGTTGTTGAATGACTTCCTACCTTCAACTTAAGTAAAGGCCCAGTGAGGAGAGAGAAGCTGGATCATAGCAGGAAGAAATAGGAGATGAGAACAGTGGGAATGTGAGATTACTTCAGCTGCTTGTGGAATTGCAGCCTGGCATCTTTGGATTTCACAGCCTTTCTGTAGTTTTCACTGGAGGTCCTAGGGCTTCCCTCTCTCCCCTGTGTGTAGCTTCTGCTTGTTTTGTTCCTTCTGCTTACCCTGCCAAGGCAAAAAGTACGTGTATCAATCAACACAGACTTTGGGGTATTAGGAAAGATCCTGTGATAAGATAGGAAAGAGTCTGCATTCACACACACATCCTTGCTTAATGCAGTGGTTGATCCACTACAAAGACTTAGTAAAATATTGAAGAATTTTGGAGGCATCTATTTGCATTGCCTAGATATTTTCGAAGGAATTCATAATTCTTGTAACTAGTGTTGTTTTCTTTCAGAAAAGTTAGCTGCTTGAGCTAAAATTATGTTTCCTTTTCACTGGTTCAGGTTAAAAGGCTAACCAGTGTGTTTTATTGAATTTTACTACCTCTTGCCTTTTTGATTACAGGTGATACTTAGGGGTAACACTCTTTATCTGCTAAGGATTAGTGCAAGACTTGTGCAAATTGTAAAGTATGGACACGCTGTTTAAATGAAGCTAATGGGCATGTAGGTCTGTTGTTGATTTGCAGCTTGAATGTAACCCTTGACCTTGACTCTTTAAACAATGTATAAGTTATGGGAGACTAGAATATTTTGGAGCTACAAGAAAGAAAGGTCTTCGAATACTAAATTTATTTTAATGTGATTGCATGTCTAACCATTTTGTCCTGAAATATATGTTGACAAAACACTGGTTGAAAGCCTTTTTACAGCTTTTTGCTGCTGTGACATCTGGTTTATTGCATGAGAGTACACATATATTTCTGCTTGTCTTTACAGAAAGCTTTGGCAGGGGTAGATGATCTGCAGCAAGTGAAGGCCCTAGAGATGCGAGTAGATACAAGAGAGACCAGCTTGGGAAACTTTGGTAAGAAAACACCATTTTCTGCTCACCATCTCAATTTTTCCTTTATCGTGTCTTGGACTGGGGACTCAATGACCACCAGCCAATATAAAGTACTGTCCTGCTCAAAGCTCTTGAAACATGATCTCCCTGGTACCTCACACTCCTTGGTCTGTTTTCTTGTGTGAGGCTCTAAATAGGACTGAAAATATGACAGTGGGATGAGTGACACCACTTCTGTCTAAAGCCAACTAGCTTGAACAAATTTTTCTTGTATAATATGCTTCTAGGCCCTAAATGAGCATTTACTGATTACCTTGTCCTGTAGAGTACTTGTCTCTAGCAAAAGAGTAGCCAAAGGTCAGTTTTCCTCCCCTGTAAGATTTCCCTGTGACTGAGATTTTGCCAGTGATATCAGGTGGCTCATGCTGCCAGCAGCCTGTCTTTGCCTCCTGTACTGCCTCACTGAGTTGTGCTGGAGGAAGGTCCTGTAGATATGTCATTTTGATGAGCCACAAACAGCCCTAATGCTTGTAATTCATTTCTATGTCATCACTGCACCAGGGAAGTGAGAAGTACCACAGGAATTCCCTCTGTAGTAGAGTTAACACTGAGAATATAAAACCTTCCTTTTTTTCCCCACGTACTGGCAATCGTTTTCTGTCATTTGGCTTCCTACCACAACCAAGTCTATCTTCTGTTACATTGAAGCTGAGTAACTACTGCAGGGTAATGTTTTCTGTGCTGAAAGGAGCCATGTCCCCAGAAGTATGTGTTGGTATTTTCAGCCAAGCGGTTAATTTTTCATATGCAAATGACTATAATGTAACAGTTGATTAGCTTTAGTGGGTCTTTTGATGTCCATTTGTCAAGAATAGTTAAGCAAGTACAGTGAAGGGGGCTTTTGTCTGAAATTATATATCCCCCTTGTATTGGTTATTCTGCTTGTTTCACAAATAGGTCTCTTTCTGATAGGCACTTGATAATTTAAAGTAAATTACATCCGTTTCTTTCAGAGATCATAATCTATTCAGTCATGTTTCCTCCAATTGATAAGGAAATCTCATTATGCCATTTCTACAATGCTCAGAAGTGATGCTCCCTTTCCTATGCCATTTTACATTAGCTGTGATGAGCTAGCAAAATGTTTCACCTTTTTCACTCTCTCTTCCCTTTCCTTTCTTTTACTAGGATAAATCCCTTTCTCCTCCCCATGATTAGGCTTTTGCAGCTTCTACAGAATACAGAGCACTATTCTCATGTTGCAAATAATTTCCATTTTGTTTATATCCCACTCTTTGCACCAAGAGTTGGCCCTTGAGGGCCATAAAAACCAGCAGCTGCAGGTCCCCACTGCTTTTGAGAATAACAGAACATCAAGACCGTCCTGAATTTCCTTCTGTCTTTTTTTTGAGTGCATTTCTGAATTTCCTTCCTGAGAAAATCTCTTTGCAAATGTCAACAGGTGGCTAGGGCAGTAAGTTTGCCACTTAATGCTTCCAGTGATCTTCAGTTTCTTGCTGTTTTTTCCACATGGCAGATGATTTTTATGTGCATTGAGTAAGGCATAAATTTTTAGGGGTGTTGCAGAGCAGTTGACGTCTTCAATGTGAATGGTGTAGGGAAGAGTGCTGTTGAAGGTGTTAGGCTCATTGCCTGCTCCCTGTTGGCTGCCTGCCCCTGGAACTGTGCTGCCGACCTGATCCCTGGTCACAGCGGTCTGGAGAAATAGCCTGAGGGAAAGAGTAGGGTAAGAACCAGACCAGCTGGAATGATAGAAGTTCAGTTTTTCCCCTACTAGGACAGTCAAGCAATAGGGGTATCCAGAGAGGTCTGGAGACTTCATCCTTGTAGGTTTTCAAGACCTGGCTGGTTGAAAACATGAGCACCCTGGTCTGATGTCACGGACAACCTGACTCTGAGCTTGAGACCTCCAACTGTCCCCTCCAGCCTGGACTGCTCTGTAATTTGGGTTTTTTTGCATTTGAAACCTGGCTAATTGGCTTGCTTTGTAGCCATATTAAAGCATTTAACCTTGTTCTCACTGTATTCCTTGGCTATGGAAGGAACATCTTTGTCATCGAGAAATTATTTGTTGGATGATTAGTCCAAACTCAGTATATTGTTTTAACTGGTTTTATGTGTAAAGATAAAACAGGCTGTGCAAGCACTTAAATGGCCAGGTAGAAGTGTTAAAAGTTACTGGACTGCACATAACTGGGTCACCTGGAACCTTGCACCACTGGAATCCCAAATTTACAACACAGTTTCCACTTGAGAAACATTTCAAGATTCACAGCCTGTGTTACAGACTGTAACACAAACACACAGGGCCTAAAGATTTCCAGAGTGATTTAAAACTTGTTGCTTGATGTTTTTCTTGAGACCATTCCACTTTGGGATGTGCTAAACTTTAAAGCACCATCCTGCTAACCTTTCCCAGTTTGTCAGGTCTGCTTCTACACAATGGCGTGACGTGGTGGGAACAGTTACTTTTCTTAGGGATAGGGTGTGGGCTAAAACACAGAAAGACTGTTATTAAGATATTTTTATGTGATCAGTTTTAAAATTAAGGAAAGGCTTCATGCCAGAGCTTGAATCTGAGTATTTGTGGGGCTTGGGGTAATTGCTGAAATCTCTAGCTGTTTTCAGTGTGCCTTGCTGAGTGACAGGGAAAACACTGAAAACCCTAGCAGGTCTTGTATCCAGCTTTGCAGATCTTGGAGCTGATTTCTGTGCTTTTCAGCTGCATGTAGACTTCAGTTCATACTCAAACAGGGACTGTTTGCTTTTCATTAGCTTATCCCTTCAGTTTTGATTGCTGACAGATATGGGATTGCATTTGTGACCTGCTCACAGAAATTCATGTTGAAAATAATGGTGTGATAGAGTTATTTAAGACACTACATAGTCCTCTTATTTCTAAGTAATTTCAATACCTACAAATCAAGTTACCCACAGTGCTCTTCGCTGCTACTTATTAAATTGCTGCCTGCTGGTGCCAGGCTCAGTTGATTACGTGTCTGGAGATTGCCACTTCCATTGCACGCATTTTATCAAGGAAAAGCTCTGTTAAAGGTTCAGAAGTAGGCATGCGCTGTTTTTCACACAGGGTCATCATCTCTCTTTCCCCTTGCCCTATTTGTTGGCATTCCTGGTGCAGAGCCAGGAGATGTTTGTCGGTAGCCGGTGTCACAGCAGCAGGTGCTGGCACCGTCAGGGAGCCAGAACAGGGGCTGGAGGTGTGAGTCTGGCCCATCCTGGTTTTGGTTTAGCTCGAACTGACAAATCTTGCTGAGTAGGGCTTGGACAAAACCCGCTGCAGCAGGGCTTGAGCAGGGTTTCCATGAGTCAGAAGTATGTACTGGGGCAGCACGCTTATGTTAAACCCTGCACTGATGAGTTTTTTGGGAGATTCACATCTCAGGTAGCTCGACTGCAGCTAGCTTGGGTTTGCCTGCAGGTGCTGCTTTCTTATCTCCAGTTATATTGCCCAGTTCACCTCAGAAATGTGGGAAAAAAATGCAAGTTAAGAAAATGTGTGGAAATAACATCGAAGTGATGTATCTTACTTGATCAAATACATCTTAAGTGAATTAAGTAGACTTTAATTTACATATCAGGTTGCTCTTGCTGGAAGAGTACAGCCTGTTTTCACATGCCTGTTTTGTATTGTAGGATCAACAAAGCATGAAGGTTGCCTAATGGCAGTGCAAGTACTTATCAGTAATTTCTTTTGTGTGCTTTTCACTAGTCCATATTGCAAAAGACATAAGAAGTGAAGACATGACGTTTTTTGTTAACAATAGGATAACAGGATATATGATGCTACCTAAAGAATACTTCCTAGTGTAAACAGCAAGTGTTATAAATATAAGTGTTATAGATTGCAGAATATAACAAAACCGGCATTTTGGCTGTTTTCTCCTTACTCCTAGTCAGTTTTCTAAATGTCACCTGCTTTGCCAAGGCGGCTCAGAAAAACATCTGCATTGCTACCCTGCTTGTGAAATGCAGCACTGCAGGCAATGTTGTTGAATGTGCTTCTATTGCTTTTATTCGCCTACCTTACACTTCGATTTCCTTCTACTCTTCGTTTAGTTTTGTTCCACTGGGGCAGTACAGTAGAATAGTTTAACACCAGTACATTGTTGGTGGTTAGTAATTTCAGAGCCATGTAACAAAAACAGTATTTAGCGAAAGGGAATCGTAGACAGATGAGATAACGTTGCTTGTCACTCTGAATTCTTAGCCTTGTCCTGCAATTGTCAGCATTTTCCTGGACCATTCTCGTTTTTGAAATTTGAAATTATGCACCATGAAGGCAGTTTCAGAATAAGGAATATATGATCTGTACTTTTAAAATCAATATTTGAAGTTAATATTGTTGATATTTTAGAGTATTTTTATTTTAATATAAGAATAATTTGTGTCCTTGCTCTCAGGAAAGATGCCATGAAGGTTAAAATTAGGAAAATTAGAAATATATTGTTACTTTTGGGTAGATCTCTTATTTTGACTTCTTCATTTTACAATTTTCTCTTCTTAATTTAATCTTCCAGGCTTTAATGTATATATAAGCACTTGGGACTGTAAAAACCATGTAGAATGAATTTTTAACACCAAAGAACAATTACATATCAATATAAAACTTAGAGGAGGGAATAACCTGCAGACTTGCAGAAATACATTGCAGAATCTTGTTTGCAGAATTTTGCACTACTACGCATAAAATACTTCTATTTCAGTCTAGCAAACCGCACATTAGAGTGTAGCACTCTAGAAGATCCTAGGGATAGATCATGCCAAAATATCTGAGATGGAGGATCATGTTACAGTAATGAAATAACCAGATGTGAAAATTATATCATCAGCCTGTCACTCTGTTAATAGTTGTTTTTTTCCTGAACCAACCCTAAATGCATTCAGTGGAAAGCTTTTTCTCAGGCAAGTCTCTCCCTTTCTCTTGCACTACTCTTCTTGACTCCTCATTCAAATCTTCTGCTTAATACTAGTTCTTAAAACACATTTGCTTTGTAATGCTTTGCAATAGCCTTTGCTTGTTAACCCTTTTACCTCTCTGGTTGAATCCATGGCTGAATCCACTGCTGAGCTGGGACTGGAAAGGCTACTGCATCCTTCTCACTCTTTCCTTTAACACTTTGGGGGACATCATTGAATCTCTCTGTCCTTATCAGAAACAGGATAGCAATTTTTTTTTAGTCTAGATTTTGATTTTTTTCTGTCCTTATCAGAAACAGGATAGCAATTTTTTTTTAGTCTAGATTTTGATTTTTTTCTGTAGGGAGTTTCTTAGGGCATGGTTTGTATCTGAGGAAGTATTTGCTCAATAGCTAGTATGACTGCTGTGAATAATTACAGAGATCCTAATATCTCCTTTGCCAGGACTCCAAATTGTTTTGTTATAAATGAATAAAACTTGTTTGACATGAGAAGGTATGACCTGCAGAATAAGGATTATGTGTTATAATTTGTATTCCAATTTTTATGGATTATGGAAAATGATTAAAAAACAAGGCTAAAAAATTTGCACAAGGTGTTTTGAATTTTTTGGTTTTTTCAAAAGAGCTTTGCAAAGACATGAAGTTAAATATTTGCAGTATAGCATAAAGATTACTCATTATAATCACTCCCAAATAACATTAGATGTAGATTATGCTTCTACTAAAACACGATTCATTAAGATGTTTTTGCCATAACTGCTCTTGTTCTGTTTGGGGAATGAACAACAGAACCTCCTTTGTTTGCTTTGGAGATCCCACTCCTTTTTTCTTTTTTTTTTTTTTTACCTCTTTTTTTGTTGTTTGTTTCCATTTTTTTTTAAATTTTTATCCTTTGCAAAGTGCTGGAATGATGCCCATCTGGACATTGATAAGTCACCCTTGCCAGAGAGTGATTACTCAGAGGACTCATAAAAATATTTGCTGAGAACACAATTTAATGTTTCAGCAATGATCCAGTTTGTCTAAAATTGGTATTACTTTGACATGATTGCATGTTATACTGGAGGATGCTCACCAGCCTTGGGTAGGTTCTGCTAGTGGGAAGGGGTAAAAGTTTGTTATTGTCAATAACAAATGTTTCCTGAGACTTATGTCCAAATTATTCTGTACCTTGGAGGGATTTCGTGTATGATTTTGGTTCAGAGACATCTTTAGAAGCAACCAAAAAGGCAAATGTCTCTCAGGGATAGAAAAAAAAAAAAAGCATTAATTAAAGTAATAACAACAGAGTACTGAGGTTTTCATAGATATGAAACTTGTACAATTCAATAGTAAACAATTGATCAGATCCAGAAAATTAAAAAGGGGAAAGCAATGCTTAGCAAAATAGAAGTAGTGTTTTGGGGACCTCTGAGCTATAAAGGATGATGTGACATGGAACATTGTGTTTTTGTTGTTTGACTCAGTTACATTTTGAAGAACTGTCACTTAGCTGTGTATCCAGTTAAGTCCATCACTACTTTCCATAAATAAGTCATGGAATGCTATACTCTAAAGCATCCCTTACCTCTTCAGAGTATCACTCAGTTAATAGTCAATAAGGATGCGGAATCAGACCAAAGAAAACAGACACCCCTGAAGCCAGTTTCTGTTGTTATCTGTCTGGAAAGGTGCCCTGTCAGAGAGAGGTTCAAAAAATTATAATTGAGTAGTCATGCAGACAATACGTATATGTTTCAAAAATGCAAAGGATGAAATATTTTTTGAGTGAAATAATCTCATGGATTTTCTTAGAAGAATTCCAGTGCAGATCTGGCAGAAACAGCTAAACAGTAAAATTAGATGCTTCAACTCTTAATTGTCCTAAGTTTCCTTTACTCTCATCCCAGGTCTGCAAAGTGATTCTTTATTCTGTTCCTATAGGTGTGCATCTCCCTAATCTGAGAGAACTGAAGTTGAACAATAGCTTACTTGTGTCTGTGAGGTAAGAAATGAATGATTCTATGAAATAAGTATAAAGAATAACAGTCCACGATTTTATTCAAGTGGTAAAATCTTCATTTGTGCTGCTTTCATTTCTTCCATTTCTCCATGCTATGACAAGGGATTAGGTCAGGTATATATGCTCTGCTACTACATAAGTTTAAGGACGGGGACCTGAGCTGGAATAAATCAGTGTAGCTGCAATGGTGCCAATGAATTAGCCCTAGTATGCCACCAGGGAAGTTCCTGACATCCTGACATCCATGGAAATTTGTTACAAGTTTGAAAGGAGCTAAAAACTCACCTCTTATCTGTGTCTAGGTGCTTGGATTTCAGAATGTTTCAGCCTTTGGGCTTTTATTGTGCACAGTAGCCCGTTCTATACAGGTCAGACCAGTTCCTCAGCTGATAAAAATCGCTCTGGCTCTATTGAAGTTAATGAAGTTGGGTTTATAAAAGCTGCTATGAAGACTGCGTGTCCCTGGCTTACTGAGCTTCATGAAATCATTACCTATCTTCTCCCAGGCAACAGGGGAGTTGGTTGGTTGGAAAGGTAGAAGTGAAAACCATCACAATGAGGAAGCAGAGCTGTCTTTTCTGTGCTGATACCTGTATTACCCTTCGTAATTAATGCATAGTGGAAAACTACAGTTCATATTAGGAAAGGGCTGTGTAAAAGGCCATCTTTATTTTAAACAGGACTGCTCTCTGGCGTTTTGTGGCTATCTGCTAAATTTGGGGGGGGGGGGAAGTAGTGTTTTTGCCAATTCTTGTTAAAGAGAACATGTTTCCTGATAAGAAATGGGGATAAATTCTTTTTGGTCTCGCTAAAGTTGCTAATGAACTTCAGTTGTCACACTTTGATCTTATTTTCCCTTGTTCTGGTGATGAGATGAAGTATCTGCAATCTAAATTTTGCTTTTCCCACCTTCTAGTCCATAACGTATAAAAGTGGTAATTCTACATTACTGCAATTATTTTAATAGCAACTAACCATTGTCATAAGCATGAAATTGCTCCATTATTGCAATGGAGGAGTAAGTAGTGGGTAAAAAAAATTACAATTTTGACAATATCAGAAAACATTATACTAAAAAGCAAAAAAGTTAAAAAGTGTTTCTTAGTTTGGTCAAAAATCCATGTTCACTTTAGAATGTTTCAATGGAAAATGTTTTGACCAGTTCTATTGGTATCGAATTTAGAATGCAGTTCAGGAAAGCTAAACTGTTTGACTGCTATTAGCAGGATTGTGCAGATCTGTAGTCTGAGACTCTTAATTTCTGTCATGAGACATTCTGGCAAACCATTTTCTTTGACCTGATATTTTTGTGTTTTTTTGATGCAGATAATGTTTGGTCTCAAGTTGAGGTTTTATTTGACCCACTATAATGTAAATATGTTTGGGCTTGGATATCAAGTCTAATATTGTGACGATTCCCAGGCACACAAATCCCAGGAGAAGCTACCTGCTTCTCTTTTAAATAAGTGTCCTTTCTGTGTGCCAGTTGAATGCAATTTTCAGGGAATAGGTAAAAGAAGAAAAAGACGACTTTGTTAGCTCTCCCAGACTTGAACTCATTCGGTATAGTTACAGCAGTAGCTTTGCTTTATTAATTCCCATCTTTGACAATCTGTCATTGATAAACACATATCATTTAAGGGTACATCCATGCAGGCACAGCTTGGCTACTTGAACTTTATTTTTGGATGTCTGCATCATGTCAATTTAATGCCCATTAAAGCAACGTTGCTGCTACAGCAGTGGTGATGCCTGCTATAGCTAATGTAACATAACTGCTTCCATTCAGCAAGCTGTTGCCATTTATTCCAAAATTTAGAAATCTTATTTCTGAATCAATCTTGTTGATATTTGAATTCTGTCCAAAAAGTGATTGTTTTGTTGTATTCAAACAAACCCTTGCAACTGAGGCTTTTGAGGATGATAGAAAAAATTGTTCTTCCTTCTCAGAGTAATTCCCTCAGCCATAAGGTCAGAATCATTGTGGTTGTAATTTGAAAATGGGCAGCAGATAACAGGAAACAGCTCATAGGATCAGACTGTAAGATTGGATTGTTTACTAAATAGAAGGTAAGGACAAAAAAAGCAGGCAAAAGATAGAGGGTGTTTTGTACATACTTGGAATGTTGAAAGCAGACATTCTTTTCATGCTATTTTATATGAAAAAAAACATATTCTGAATTATTATGAACAAAAGACTGTGCATACACAAGTGGGTAATAAGATGGGAAACTTTGTTTTTTGACACTATTTTTGTTTAGTTTTGTCTTGCAGAGTAGAATAACCTAATTACTTTAGGATGAAATGGAATTAAAACATATATTTTCATTTTGAAAATGTGGAAAGAATTGACTTGATAGTAAACAGGATAGAGGGAGATGTCAAAATGAAGATTTATGATCCTGACTTCAGTTTTTGAGGTGTTTACTCCTGTCAGCCTCACATAGGAACTTAACTTGTGAGGATGCTGAGGTGTGCGTTGCCATTCACTGTTCAGTAGAAATCAAAGGAGGGATGTTCTAACAGTGAGGAATCAAGGTATTCATGTATTACAGTTTTCTATGGGAGAGCAAGGCTTGCTAGACCAGTGAATTTGGATATTGGCTTCTCCTGGTAGTTTCTGAAGAAGTTCTGATTCCTTTCATGGGGAATGTGGTTGAGCTACTTTAGTTGTCAATTCATAGTCCCTCCCCAGTCTTCCTAAAGCTTGCATTACTTTTGAATACTTGAAACTTCAAAAGACTGTATGTAAGCGTAGGATATCATTATCAACTATTTCATTCAATCCATAAGGAAAATATATCCAAGTTTATTTGCGGATTATCATTCTTGGTGGTTGAAAGGGAATTTCTTTTTTGGCTGTTTCTGGGTTTTGGTTTTCTACTGGCCCTTCACTAAAGGCAAACAGCTCTGGAAAATCCAATGTACTGTGAAAAGAAATTAGTTCACATTGTTGTTAATTTTCTAAATCACAATAATTTTATTATGTCCTTGTTTGGTGACCTTCACCCATCTGCTAGCAGCTGAGAAATTCTAGATTTATGAACTGATAATTGAGGATGAAAAGTCAAACCTATTCTGAAGAGTGCCTGTTAAAATCTGCCTTCCTTTTTTTTTTTCTTTTCGTGTGTGTGTGATGACCATGGTCCTCATCTTTGTAGTGTTTCCAGGAAAAGAACTATACTTTAAGGCCAATGAACTACTACTTCTGCTTTGGCACATAGCCTATATATTTTTTTATCGGATTGCTTTTATTCTCAATTCAGGAATGAATGAAAAGATCTGTTTAAAAATGTTTAGATAGCTATCTTTACGAAAGGGCTTTTAAATCAGATAAGGGGAGCTTAGGAGCTGGTTCCCATAAGTTTACAGCAGAAGCTGCTTCACCAGCTGAAGTTCATTTCCTCCCATTCAGCTCCACGCATTGTAGCCAGCAGAAGACTGATCTGCTCTCAGGGCTACTTTAGCAACTGCTTGTAGCAGGGAGAGGTCATAGTTCAAGTGAGATGAAGTGCAAAAACTTCAAAATGTGGGGAAAAAGTGAGTATGAAGGATATAAGTAAAGGAAAGCAGATATTCTTTATCCAGGTAGAGTTAACATTTCGTTGCTGCAGTTCTCAAATTGGTCTGGCACTATTGCAGAAGCATCTCCCAGAACAAGAGGGCAGTAATTTTGGTCCATTTCAGTCAGTAAAATCGTCAGAAAGTTCAGATGAACAAGGTGCAGATTGCATTCAAAATTAACAATTCTCATGCTTTTATGAGCCTTAGGGTATTTGTTTTGGTTTGGTTTTTAGCACCAGCTCCTGGAGACAAGGCTACCTACACAGGAATCTCTATATTCACTTTTTGGAATGTTTTGAGCCCTCTTGGCTGTGAAAAAAATAACTGAAAATGTGAGCCAAGTGATTTAAGTAAGGGGTTTGCTGATCATTTCACGACTTTAAGAAACCAGAGGCAAATAAATTCTTTCTTAATTAAGGGCAAGGGCTTTAAAGAGTGTTTAAAAATATTTTTAGACATGAATCAAGATCTTTAGGTATTTGAACTTAGCAATATAACTCCTTGGTACTTATCCAATGAAGAGTTTAAGGAAATGTGCACCTCTTAAAATCACACAAAGTTTGCCTTCAGTGGCATTGCTCACAAGATGAAAATTAAAAATTTATCCAAGTGCTTTGCTGGATCTGGGTCAAGTTACACCATCTTCTATAAGACTGAGCTGTGAAACTTATCACCCCAAGACTTGATGTATTGCTGATACTCTGTGTCTAAGGCACTGACTATTTGCTGGATGATTTTCCCTCAAACAGGAGAAATGTGGGGGCATCATTCCCCTAAATTTGCTTTTTTCCTTGTCATTTTTACTTATTCCTTTCCTTCCTGTCTCTTTTTTTTCCCCTCCAGTTTGCTTTTTCTTCTACCTGTCCTTTCTAATCTTTTGCAATTACTGTTTGATGCATGTAACACAGGTACCACACATAAATGCAACGAGTTTTATGCAACAAGGATCAGCATTGTTCTTACGATAGATAAAATCCACAAATATTTTCTAAAATCAATTCAGTTTCTTAGTTTGCATTAAAGGTGCAAATTTTTGTCAACAGATGATTCATTTGTATTGCAGTAGTTTCTTACAGTGTTTAGTGAGGGATCAGGGTCCTCTTGCTCTGGGTTGTACTTACACGTGCTGTCAGAGAACCACTGCTCTGATTTGGTCTGGGTGAATTGCTTCATGCCTTTATTTCAGTGCCCAGAGCATCACTGTTTATTTTCACATTCACATTCCAGGGTGGGGAAAGCATTTAATTTCAAATGCAAGCTAGTTTCTGTAAGAAGTGTTTCTGTTACTTCTTTTGTGTAGCCAGCCTGAAAGTCCTTCAGTGGTTAAGGTTGCTGTGAAGTCTCTCTTAAGAACATGTTCTTTGAGGAATTTGGGTGCTTTCCAGGAACTAAGAAAGCATTTAAATTGAATCTTAATC